CTTGCCCAATTTGCCGAGTGAAGGGAAGCACCAACGTATATAGACCTCATTTGGCGACGCTTGTCTAAGTCTTAGTAGAACGGCGGGCTGTTTCCGCAACTCTACACCCAGTTAGGGACACGATATCGAATAGAAAGTATCGATACTGTACTCATGAGTAGTATCGGTAAAAAAGTGTTGTACTCGTAAAAGTATCGAAACAAAAGTATCCATATTGTCCAGAGAAACGTTTTCGCGGCAACTTGAAAATGGAGTTTTTGATTTGGTTATTTTTACTGAAATACACGACAGAATGATGAATATCTTTTTACGGACTCCATAAACATTAGTCAATAACCTGAGATCGTTGCCTAAAACTTGTCAAATACCCTATGGAACGTTTTAGAAGGTTTGCTATGATTTAACAAGATGGCGTTGCCATCTATATGAGGCGCTTATCCAAATTTTTAAAGGTATCGATACTTGCCAAAAATCGAGTACAGTATCGGTATCGAAGGGAAAAGTACTCGATACCACAATGTATCGATACTTTTCGTGTCTCTACACCCAGTGCCTATTTTGCGTGGAGATTGGCATCAGTCCTGCCATCCCAGCTCCAGAAAGCTCAGCAGTCCCCTAATGTTACTGCAGGCCTCTACTATTGTCTTCGGGCTTCCCATTAGAGAAGTCCTTTGTCTTACAACGCCCCTGCACGCCAGCAGCACATGGGCGCTCGTCTCCTCGAGGCAGGCTCTGCACAGAGGGCTGTCAGAAATACCTATATTACAAGGTGTTTGTTGAAGTAGCCGTGACCCGTGAGTATACCCACGATTTGTTTTAGGGCTTGTCTGGGAAGTCTGATTAACTTACGTGTTGGCGACGCTTGTCGACACTTGCTGTTGCTCGCCAACATTTGTCTCACATCGTCCATAATAAGGCTAGCGCACCATCGTATGGGCAGCTCACCTCAAAGCTCGTCTATATTGGCAACTTTCATTGGTCTTCTTCAAACTTGACCAACGTGTAGAAATAGATCTTGCCTACGCTCGCGTTGGGTTAAACTCACCCTATATGTTATAATGTTTATTTTTTAAGCATGTAACTGCTTGATATTTAAATCTAAAGAAAATACGACTAGAAAAAAATCCACGCGGACCAGGCAGCAGACGGGACTCGAACCCGCACCCTTCGCCATCAGGGCGAATGCACTGTGGGTTACCTACAATGAGAAGAGATGGCGCTGCCTTGCAGCTTAAGAATGGCTAGAGGAATTTCGACGCGGCCGTCAGGGCCGCGGTAGCATAATTGGTCAGTGCATTCGCCCGGTTAGCGAAGGGTGCGGGTTCGAGTCCCGTCTGCTGCCTGGTCCGCGTGGATTTTTTTTTCTACTCGTATTTTCTTTAGAGTCTCCCAACATGTAATGGCGGATTTAGTAAGTTAGCAATTGCATTACCGATGGCGTATCTTCTAGACGTTGATGAGTGCCTGTGAAAACCTAAGCTGAATTAATTAACTATTTTTGAAATTTGAATATCTTTCTCTCATTCTTAGTTCAGCATGCACAACATTAGCTACTGACAATAAAACATCTAAAAAGAAATATGACTGCATTATCATAATCGTTAATTCAATTATTTATCCATTGACCTCTTTCCTGTGCATGTAGGGTTACCATTATTGTTTCAGAAGGCCGGACAAATATAATTTCGCCTCAAAGAAAAGTTAGGATATCAAAGTTGGTCGAAATTTTAATTTAAATGCAATCAAGAAGATTATAGCTAACTAAGCTAAGCCCTAAGCACGGCTATAAAATATATTTCAGATAAAAGATGGCTAATGGCGTCAAATCTTAACCATTTAAATTTGACGACCTCCCTGGCCGAGGGGTTTGTACGCCGGGTTTCAAAGTGTCGCCTACTCGAGAGATCCCGTGTTCGAATCCCAGTGGGGGCAGATGTTTGTGTGATCAATACGAGCATTTGTACTCCAGTCCTGCATGTTAATATGTATTTCTATATAAATATACTTACATATATATGTATTCTATCCGTTACCCTAGCATCCCATAACACAAGCCTACAGTGTTTACTTTGAAGGCTAGGCTAATTGGTGTGTGTTGGAAATATTTATTTATTAAAGCAGTTTCAAGTTTCAGGTAAAAATATTTAAAATCCCTCGCTCTTACAAGTAAGGTCCAGTACCCCAAGCTCGAACTTTCACAGATCCGTGTTCGTATCGCCAACGTCAAGGTTTATATGGAAACTAAGCAGCGCCTCTACCGGACATAAAAATAAACTAGCTTGTTCCATAGAGACTGACGTGACAATACGAATACTTTCTTGCTAGATGTTCGTGCTTGGGATACGACTTGATAAATTACTAAAGTTGTTAGACTGGGCTTAGTTACATGTGTTTATAAGCAAAAACCCAAACATAGCTTGTACAACTTTTATTTTATACGCTTTCGTTTTGTAGTTTATTTTCTTCTTGTTTTTAGTTATTTTTGCGAAAATAAAACAAACATATATATATTGAAAATGTCAATTGTCTAGTTATTACGGTTCATCAGTTAAGGACGATCAACAAATCTATATTATAAAAATTAATCGCTGAATGTGTTTTCTAAGCGCAAATCTCGAGAACAGCAGAACCGATTTCGATAATTCTTTTTTGAGAATATTCCTTGAAGTACAAGGATGATTCTTACTTAAATTTAAAAAAAATGCCTGCAAAAGTCCAAAAGCAACAATACTATATATACTAAACCATTCGTAATAATACTCAAAAGTCAAATTGTAACTTTAATACCATACCATAAATTTCAAATGTTAGTGGCGAGGTTTCGGGAAGGCAAAAAATTTGAGGGACGTGATGTCATTTTAGTGAAATGAAATGAAATGAAATGTCATTTATTCAGTCTAGGCTGTTACAAGCACTTGTGAAGGTCAAGAAGCTACGCCATCGGTTCGCAAAACTACGGCGGGAGACCTTGTACTGAGAAGAACCGGCAAGAAACTCAGCAAGGGCTGTTTTTTTCTCCCTGTATTGTTATAACAGTGTCGTCAAGTTGAAAAATTACTTCAGAAATACGTCTGAAGTCACTAGTCTACACTACAGCTCTACACCGAAGCGAAGCGACGGTGGCCACTTGTTTTAAATAAAATCTTAATAATAATCAGGCGTATCCCCAGCATATCACTGTTTGTATTTATACTGTCTGACACAGCAATAAAAATGGGAGTGGACGTTGTATTGGTAGCGACATGTTTTTTTTTGTTAATGTAGCTACTTCCCTTAAGTGCTGATGAGTTTCTCGCGCCCATTCTTCTCAACAGCTAAATGATGTCTTGAATGGGTGGTGAGAAAAATATTGGACGATTCAAAATAGCTTTCAATAAGTCAATTTGAATATAGTATAATTTCATTTTTGGCGGGATTTCATCGAGTGCGGTTGTCGTCTTATTTTAATTATTCTTAAATTTGTTCATTGTGGAAATTGTGAAATAAAATTGGTGTGATTTTGTGTTACAACCGTCTGCGCAACTGAAGAATTAGTGGAATCTTTAAAATATACGCTATTCCGGTCAAGTGGACGTGGGAACTTTATTGTAGTATTGACTACCTCACAGAAGCTTATCGAAAAAGCCAATTCGATATATTTTGTGCCGAACACTCCAAGAAACATTAGAATACGTCACACCCACATTCTAATGTAAAAAAATGGAAGATTAATACATAAATAAGACGATGGCTGCATGGCTTTGCCTTTGCCTTTCTCAATAGAAAAGAATAAAAATAAAAAGTAAATCATTTTATTAATTTCATTGGATATGGTTACCCTATTAACACATCAAACGGTGCACAGGCGGGCGGGTGCTGACTGTGTTTGGTGAAAGATGTACCGTCTACAAATCAGGCTAAACAATACACAAACAGAATCTTAAATAGAATAACTTATTAAAGAGCGCGTTACCATATTAGTATCTGTCGACAAATTCCAGCAGAACTTTCCACGCAGTGGTGATCAGCTACTCGCTGAGTGGCGCGAATCGTGAAATATTGTTACACTATTGAAAAAAAAAACAATTACGTTCCTTTTTCGTTTGTGTTTTGTTTTGTCTCTGGTCAGTGATTTAATTTGGCATTGTTTGAATTATGTGCGGTTTAATGGTGTCATATTTCGTTTTTAAGAACAACAAGATAAGTTGATTTAAAAAGTGAATTACTAAGTTACTTAGTTCTGTTGTTTTAAATTTTAGGGCTGTGAGGTTCTTAGTAGAGTAAGCAGCTACTGATATTTGATTTTTTTTTCAAAAGCAAAGGTTTAATTTTCATTCAGGCATATATTTAATATAAATTTATGTTTATATTATTAAGTGATATTTTTTTGTTATGATGCTTAATAGTTAAATATTTTGAGGTTAATAATTTTATTAGAATCAATTCGAATAAATTTCCATTATAAAAAATTCAATGCCGTACTAAGTTTATGGAGCAGTCCTTCTTTTTGTCTATGTGTAACTTTCCTCCTTCCGTCGCAGATTACACAAAAAATTCGATTCTGTAATCTGAGCCTTCCGTGATCAGATATCACTTTCATAGTATCGGAAAGAGGTTTAATTATTTCGCATTGACACTGGCTTTACTTTTAGCTTGCAAGAGGAAAGCTAAAAAAGTCAAAGTAAGGCTAGCACTTGATAAACCCAGGCTTAAGTTAGGTTTCCAGTAACAGAAAAAAAAATGTGTGTGTCAGCTCCGACGCACGACTGCAGTTTACTCCTTAAGTCGATAGTCTAACCAGAAGCAAAAAGAGTTTATTTAACTTAAAAAAGATTGATACTGTATGAAAGGGTAAATTAACAAATTAATGAAAATAATATACATATATAAATATATATTTATTCATTTCATATACATTTATAATAACTAATCGACAAAATATTTTACATTAAACTTTTACAATAGTCAATTTCATATGTGCATAAATATATCATTAGGAATTTTGATAAATTATGTAATTATTATAATCAGACTATTATCATTTTTTAAAATATTAATTAAATCAACATTGTCTGCATTATTAATTACAGTGACAAGTGGTTTATGGTAACTAAAATAAGACACATGGACGTTCGTAGATACGTGGTTCACGAATCTTGAAAATATCGCATCAATGGTTGTACCATACCTCGTTGTCCCCATTGCTCTATCAGAAACAATATCTAAATTCAGCTCACATTTTAAAAATTTCATTAATGTCAATCCGTCATCTTTGTATGTCAAAGTTGCGCGACATAGGATGCGTACCGAAAACATAACTAGGTCATTCATCGATAGATTTTACTCCTCACATTTTTCTCATACCGGGCCCCTTATATATGCAAATCGATTCTTAAGGCGTAAACTCAAAAAACGATAGTTATAGTTATAAGTTGCGCGATAATTTTCCACCTTTAAAATTTTGGGATTACTGTCTATTCCAACTAGAACACCTTTCAGCCTGCAGTGGAATAACTTGTGTAGTGTTTCTTTTGTGAGCGTGGTCTGTGATCTACACAACTCGTCTAATATATCGTAGTAACAAACCGCATTTGATAGCGCTTTCAATCAAAGTTTATTAGGCGTACGACGGCGACTAGTCGATTCACTATTTCGGATCGCGAAGCACTCTTTTATTTTCCCAAACGGGAAGGCGAAGCTCTAAATGCGTTGCCAGAATCACGAGACTATCGCAGACGAAATAAAAAAAGAAAAATGTCATAGGTCGACGCACTCGCGTCTATTTGGCGGCAGTCCAATAGTGCACAAAAACTGCAGCATACAGCCATAGACAATGCATATCCGCAACAAAACTTCTTGCAACTTGGCTGTATAAGCGCAGCAGTTGTCGTTTGCCAAATATTGCGCGGGAAATTTGATTTTAATGTGAGTGTCGTTTTTGTAATTGAAGATACGCAAATACAGAAGATACGAGGTACCTACTGAACATCTGTACTGGTGTAACCAAGAATAGTTCAAAGATCTCGAATGGCGTGTCCGAGAGATTTCCAAGTGAGTTATTTATGTTACAATAAGATTAACACTTCTTCCCCGAGAGGGGCCTGGGTTTCCATATTTTTAGTTGTACACACGACGACACGTGTTCTTTGACACATCGAAATACATAGTTAATACGTCTAGAGAATACTTGCGCAATAATTAATTTGATTGTGAAACTAACGAGTCATTAGAGATGATCAATCATCATTGTTCCTAATGTGTTTCTCACATTTTATAAAGGCGTTCAATTTCATGTGTAGACTTGGAATTTTTCTTTCTTTGTTTACCAACAGAGCAGTGGTATAATGCATCCTATGCTATCCATCAGCTGATAGAAACCGTTGCCCATATCCTTCAACACTCCCACACACAATGTTTCAAAACTTCTAATCATTGCCAAATAGCTATCCAGAATAGTGTAGCATACGCGAGATATTCAGATACCTAAATATGCAATAATCATGGAATTGGCAACATTTTTTCAGTGTTTTTTTTTACTATTTTCGTCGTTTAGTATTTTGTTTTCAATTGGATCTTCGTTGTTTTTATTAGCATCATGTTCATCTGCTGTCTCCGCTTATACTACATTCAGCATTTCATCGTGTACTATAATTAACGTCGTGACTTCCCCCAAAAGCTCGTATTTTCATATGAATACATCTTCCCGGTCAGTAGCCGCGCTTTACTTGAGATAGACTGACGTCGCCCGTGCAGGGTTCATCCCGTGTGCTCGTAATTGAAACGGTGCAATGCAATATCATTGTTTTGTCTACGCTCGCGCTAAACGCTTCTCCAAACGGAGAAAGAATTGAACGAAGGAGTTCGTAACTGTCAGTGATCATTGCAGCTGTCAGGAACGTGTCTAGTTTGTTCTTTTTTCGTAGTTTTGACATTCGAATTTCGAAACGTGCAAACGGAGCAGGAAGTGTATTTGTTTGGAAATGGAACGGGGCACGTCATTTCGCTTTCATCGACCCGCGAAAGTGTCTGTTGTGTTCAACCGTGGAGGAGACTGTCGGTGCATAGTAGATTCTGCAGTTTGTTAACGAATGCAGGGGTCTTGTTGGATTGGTCGCAGATTATTAGTTGAAAAGATAGTCATGCATTCTCAGTGGTGTTTGAAATGTTGAATCGTTTTCGTGATACGATTTTGGGCGAGTTTTTGATGTTTTAACGCTGCGCGCGTATGACAGTTTCGACATAGCTTATTTGTGATGCAGCGCGTCGCTTCCTCATATCTAAGTCGTATTTCAGGTGACTGTGTTTGGCGCTGGCCCAAAATCTCGAAATTACATCATAGGACTTTTGATTATGACGAAAAGATTGTTTCTCTTTCGGTTGAATAAAACTAGAGCAGACGGGGGTTTTTAGTTAATCCTCACTGGAATCTCAATGGTTCTGTCAACGGATATTTTGCATCCTTTTTCTAAACAACCATCTCTGTTTACATTTCATATTATTCTTTGAATAATCCACTTTATCTCTGTGCATTTAACGATAAAAAATATTTCTGTTCTACCAATAGAGTCGGTCTGAGAATTCTGAGAAAATTCCATTTTGGAATGCCAGTATATCTATTTCGTTGTCTAATCCGACTTTACTGTGTAGTCTATGAATTAAAATGGTAGCTAGCATTTTAATTCAATCGTATATTTACTAGAATGGTACAAATAGATCTCGATGAGTCATATGATCCTTTTCTATCTCATTGTGTCTGTCTGTAAAAGCTTTGTTTTATTTATCTGGGTTTTAGCATCTGCGTGCGTTCGAAGGTGCGATTGTGTTGGTTTTGCTTTTAAGTTTGGTTATTGTTTACCAGCAATTTTAATGCCAACGCCTTTTTACTTAAGGACTTAAAAATGTCGACATATTCTTTTATATTTGTTCGTTTTAACGTGCTGTTTTCTAATACTGGTATTTACTAGAATTCTTCATCAGCCTATAGCAGCTACCATAAACTCATTGCTGGGGCCCAGGTAGGCCCTTTTGCATGGCTGAGTGAAAGCGGATCATGCCATGAACTATCACGAAGATAATAGGGTATTTGACAGTATTAAAAATAAAGTACCAATTGTTAGCATCTGCGTTTAGAATGAATATTGGCAGGGGTTTTTACTATTTTTGCAAAAAAAATATTCATAATTTTACTAAAAACCCACGAAAAAGATAATAGTTTTCTTATCTATTGTCACGTGACCCAAAACGCTTGGGATTGGCGGAGCCTAAAATGACGTCACACGCAAGTAAACTTCCGGTTAAAGTGACATTACATTGTATCTTTTGACACGTTTTAATAACAGTCGTGTGACGTCACACACTAGTAAGACGCCATATTGTCCAGAAAAACGTTTTCGCGGCAACTTGAAAATGGGGTTTTTGATTTGGTTATTTTTACAGAAATACACAACAGAATGATGAATATCCACTTTTTACGGACTCCATAAACATTAGTCAATAACGTGAGATCGTTTTCTAAAACTTGTCAAATACCCTATTCATTATACATTGGATTTGATCAAATGTGTCAGTATTATTTTGGGAGAATTCCAAAGCAGACCTAACCAAACTAATACCAAATACAGCATCTTTTAGAATGGAGATGCTTAAGGATGTGGATGTTTGCATTGTATCAATGTATGTTTATGTCTGCCTCACACTCTTGTTTGCACCTTTGATGTGGTATGTACCAACACCGCAAAGGATACATACAAGACTTGAATGCGTAGTTTGAGATTTCTTTCTGTGGCCAAATTTTGTCTAACATCGAAATTTTGCCAATTACCTGCTGGCCCACAATGAGAGAGATTTTTGTCATTTGATATAAACAAATAGATTTTGACGTGACAACGTCTTAAATTAGGTTGCGGCTGGGAGTCACTTATGAAAAAGTGTAACGCTCGGTAACGTTACGATGAGTCTCTCGTGTTAAGTTTAAGTTTACATGTACAATGTTTTAGTAAACAAAATATATTTCTATAGTTAAAATTTGTGCAATTCTTATTTTCATTCAATTCCTTGTTCCTATTGTGCAATTTAATTATATTCATATCAATAAATATTCTACCGAGAAAAAGACGTTGTCACGTAAAATCTTCGCCCGTAAAACCGACTTTACAGGCAACCATTTTTTTTATATAGGATCTTTAGCTGTCATTAGCGTGCATTGCATGCAGCAAACAACCGGTATTATTAGATTAAGGAAACGCTAATAAAATCAATGAAAGATTACGTCTACTTCTTTATCCAACATTGTTTGTAGGTGTAGCTACAAAGATTATTTTACGTCTTAAATTGTCACATACCACATTCATCTCAGCAGGTTTAACTGTTGTACGGTTCTGTTATAACCTCGGTTTACTAGTTAAGGCCCACTTGCACGTTCCAGGGTTAATTTATTTACCTCCGAGTTAACTATTGAACTGGGGTTAAGAAAATGTTTTTTCTGGCACTGCCAAGAGTTAACACTAAAGTTTAGGTTAAATAATTAAACAATTAACCCGCCAAAGTTGGAGGGTTAAATTGCTAACTCGAGATTTAAAACGTCAAATTTGTTAAAGGTTGTTATAGGCTGTGTTGTTTGTTTTTATAGAGTTAACATTTTATTTTATTTATTTCTGAATGATGGATGACTTTTTGTTTTCTGATGAGGACGAAAAAATTGTCGACTATAATATAAGTAGGTACATATCTTTTTGACCGTTTGTTTAGCGATGATGACCAGTAGTAATAGCATTATATTCTTCCATTATATCCTGCCAAGCTTTTTGTTTTTGAAGAAGAGTAGCGCCGTATTTTTTTTTATATTCAATAATATTTTTATATTTGTATAAAATATCACATAGAAGTAAACTGTCACTACTTGTTAAACTCGGGGCACGTAAACGAGATTTCTTCTTCATTTTACAAAATAAAACCGCACGAAATTGTTGTCATAAAATTGTATTACTTACAAGATAGATAGGTTCTTTTAAAAACACCATGCAATCGGTACACAAACACCTATTTGACAGACAAATTACAGGACGCCATTCAACTAAAACGCCCAAAAACACCACGTCTTTTCAAATTTGACATTACGAAAGAGACATATGCAAGATACTGTTGTGTGAAATCGGGAACAGTACTTATGTCATTCATCATTCACTTATTTTTGATGGGTTAGTAAACCCTGGGTTATTTGCTGTTCGTGCAAGATAAACTCTGAGTTAAGAAAATGTTATATTAACTTTGTGTTAGTAAACTCGAAGTTATTTTGTTATCTCAAGATTTACGTGCAAGTGGGCCTAAGTCGCCGAAATAAATAAACCGTCCAACACATGCATGCATTCCCGCGATGTGCAGCTAAATGTTTTCTTTTTTCCTCACCATCGCTTCTAATTTTAAACGTGGCTGCGCGCCAGTCTTCGCGCGTGCGCACAACTGTACACCGCGTTCGGATACTGTCTTGATTCTGGAATTCGAATCTTGTTTGAATTTTGAAAAAAGATTGTCTTTTCTCTACTTTCAATTGTCTTTGTACGGAAGGTAAACATATTGGTGTCTCTATTTATCATAAATGGAATCGTTTAATAAATCATTTGTAGATCCTAAGCGTTTAGGTAAACAACGTTGATGACTCTGAAAAGTTCGCGTGATTTTTTTAAATTTAACAAGATTTCGAAGGTTTCACTTCTGTATAAATTATATTGAAAGTAGTATTTAAATTTCGATGGATGTATCACGCCAGCAGTTCTTGAGGTCTCGCTCGGTAACTATGGCGTTCAAATTTATGGTTTGATTGAACTCACACCTTTTGCTTTTGTGATTAATTTGGATCTGTATCATAAACCTAATGGCGTGCTTTAATTCGTTGGCTTTTCTTGTTTCTCCAATTAGAGCCCAGAGAGGCCCTGTACAGGCTAAAGGCGGTCCGTATCAAGTTCGGAATTTGAATTTCGAAAAAGGAACATTGGGGTTTTAACCACACATTGTGCCAGTAAAAGTAACCAGAGACAAACAGACTTTTTTTTACAACTGACCATAGACAGTGTTTTTTTTTCACTCGATCATAGACTGTGCTTTTTTTTTCTTAAAACATAGATAGTGTTTAATGTTTATAATAGTAGTGAGAGGAAATGGGGAAGAAGAAGAAAAGTAACGCCAAAAGAGCAGGCAACAGATTCTTCCGCTGGATAAAAAGGTAAAGATATATATCTAATATAAAAATGTGTGTGTGTGTTCTTTTGTGGACTATGTCATTAACAATAAAAAAGAACTATCATTAATGGCGGTTTGTATGCAAATTGCATGTTCAAATTGTTAACTGCTAATGGATATTAAATGACTAATTACAATTATGGCGCGGTCAACGACATTGTAGGATTGTAACCTTCATTGTTATAGTAATCATCATAATGTTATAATTAAATATTGTTTATCCTGCCATTTATAAGTTGATTTAAAAGAGACGTGAAGAAGCAAGGTGTTGATGGCTGGTGTGGCAGGTAGAACTGCTGTACCAGCTATCTTCGCGTCTGGACTTCATCGTCTCTTAACATCAGGTGGGGGGGAATCATTTGTCGGACCTAGCTATAAAAGAAAGTTTCTCACGTTGCCAGAAGCTGGTTTCGCTGGAATTAGAGTGGCCTATCCTAGGTCTCCATCCAGTCACTCACCTTCGAGTGCGTTTTCTTAATCATACTCTTGGCACACATTCTAGTAAGGAGGTTAAAGTTTAGAAATAAGCTTCCTCGTTAGGGGGATGCGGAGGGGGGGGGGGGGGACCCTCCTATCCAACCCCCGTCTGCCGGAGATTCGTAGTTTTTTCAGGAAAAAAAATTGTAAACATAACCTCAAAAATAAAATAAACTACATTCGATTCGTTTCACTCAAAAAGAAAAAAAAAAAAACGTAGATACCTCTCCGGCAACTAAAATCGATGCCAGGAGTTTCAGTAAAGCCCCCTGAGCCCCCGCACGGCGTCAGTTTTCCCGGAACGAGGAAGCTTATTTCTAAACCCAACCCAGTAAGGACCTTAAAATGGGTCTTGATGAGTCAGCAGACGCGAGCTGAGAGACATTTAGGAAATAGGTATTTGAAAAAACTATTGCTGTCGCGCATTGGCAAATACTGTGTGATAGGGACAACAGTAGTTAACGCCGAAAATTGCGTATTAAAATTGCGAAAATCGAGGTTTGGCGCTCGACGACTTCCTCCTCGAAAATTAGATATATGTAAAAGAAAGCCTCTAGGTTTTTCTTTTTTTATGTAAATGCTTATTAAATCTTCTCACTAGACGCCTTGGCAAACGTAGTGTAGGACGTCCTCAGGCGCGATGGAGTGACGCTTTGCGCAAGGTGGATGGCAGGAGCTGGATGCGAGTAGCCCAAGAGCGATATGAGTGGCGTGCATTTGGAGAGGCCTATGTCCAGCAGTGGACTAAGATAGGCTGTTGATGATGAGACGCCTTTAGTGGTGATAAAGAATTGTTTAGTTTTTAACCTTTTTCGAGGGCTTCTGTAAAACACAAGTTATCGAAAAAAGGAAAACATAGAAGCATAGAACGAGTAAAATTATAATTTATGTATGAAAATCAATTCTTTAGTGATTAAAATCAAGGACGAATCAGTTGAGAACCTTTGTATGGGAAAAACAATGCGTGCCTTCCCTCTTAAGGCCCCAGTACACAATGGCCCACGCTCGACCACTGCTAGCCATTGCCACTGTGTACAGGGGGTAATGGTTTATGATGGCGGATAATTGTCAATCATGGCGCGCAATCGGGAAGATGTCGGTTTTTTGGGTACACTTCAAAGGAATCGTGGTGTAGCGTGACCGGTGGCGTTTACACAGTGGCACATTGTTCAGTACGTCACCAACCGACCGATGACGAAAACGTTAAAATCTACAGCCGTGAAAATTAAAAAAAAATTAAGGTTACTTGCTCAGTGACTATTATTTTGATGTCACAAAAAAATGTCAATATCGTGGAGCAACAAAGGAACCTTCCGTTCATTGATTTATATCAATCTGAGACTCACAAAGTGCACTGCGCAAGGATAAGAACATATTTGTAAGCAGAATATAAATAAATAGCCGCGGCCGTAAATACTTCCACGTCCATCACGCGAGTGTTTCGCCAGGCAGAAGAGCCGTGGCCCATTGTGTAAACGCTTTTTTCGCGATGCGGCGATGCTGGCCGATCGTGGCGCATGGCCGTGCATGGCCCATTGTGTACTGGAGCCTTTAAAGTTTGACCGGCGCAAGAGTATTGTATTTTTTTTAATTACCGAAGGCAGTCTAGCGGACGGACCACCTCATGTTAAGTGGTAACCTTCGCCGATGGACATCAGTAATACCAGTGACACAGCCATGCTACTGTCTTCCGTATATGTAGTTTAAGTGGGGAAGGCCCACTTACACTAAACACCAGGTGGGGTGGGGTAAATTGCTGCGCCTCTTATAAATGCACGGGAAATTCACAGCTGGCAGTTCCTATGATATTCTTTTACTTCCAACTTCACATAAGAACAATGGACTATTATTATTTTAAGCATAACTGCTATTCATGCAATACGATTAAGTCACAAATGCCGATTAATGTAATAAAATTAACTAGCAAACCAGTGAACCAAATGTTCACCAAAACCTGATTCAAAAAATGTATTTAATTAATTGAGAACTTCGGAGATTTTGTGTGGTTTCGTTTGAAATTATTTAGTTAAAAAAAAATCAACCTTTAAATAGTTAATTAAAATTGTGATAATTACAAAATAGAAATCACGTGATTTCTCGAAAACCGGAAGTGCTACGTTACTCAAATCCGGTTTGTAGTCTTATCAGACTATTCTTAACTTATAACTTAAACATTCTCTTTATCTATCTCTTACGGTTTGGCCGCTGAAACAGCACCACAGACGGACGGACGGACTTGTCTAATAGATAAGAGATGCACTAGGTAGGTATCATAATCTCTCACTTCACAATTGAAGAAAAAATATGGCCGTTTGCCGCCTTATCGCGCTCAGATATAACTAGACGGACCATAGACAGCGACTTCCGGTTCCGGGTGCAATGAACCGTTACAAGAAAGCAGCGTGGTTCGTTGCAAGTGTTGCAACACATTCTTTCCACTTAAATCGTTAATTGTGCTCGAGTGAAATGTGTTATTATTTTTGGGTAGAGTAATAAATACTGTTTCTATTACATTGCGTCAAAATCGCTTGCAACAGGGATGATGACTAATTATTTTTTCTTCATTTATCAGGTAGATTATCAAAAAGTATTGGACACGTATTTTTTCTTTTTTCACATAATATAAACACTGCAGAGATATATTGATTTGAAAAGTCGCATGACGTCACGTTTGAGTACACTTATAAGTGAAAATTCACTCAAAAGTGACGTCACGAGCCCCTACTCCCAAACTTTGGCGCGCTATAACTTTGTCATTTTTTGGTTGATTGCCCAAAGAAAAAATACGTGTCCATTATAAAAATAATCTAAAAAGATCTAAAAAGATCATCTAACTGACGAACTAAATAGAATTTTGTTTACTGTACCCCGTCATCACCCCTAGGGGTTTCCACATTTTTTGTCGAAATAAAGTGGATATTAAAGGTAGAAAAAAAAGTACATTGTGTCCAAAACAAAGTACCTACTATTTATATCACTTTATTAGTGTTAACGCCATCTATCCTTCGAAGAGAGAAGCTGCAATCGGTCCATCATCATCGTCCGTTCATACATTCATTTCGTACTCGTTCGTTTCTACATTCACTCATTTTGATTTATATACATTCACTCTCTCTCTAGCAATTCGAATTCAAAAAAGACAACGTACGCGCATAATTTCAATAAGATCTGTATTTTACTATGAATAATATTCTACAATCTGAATATCCGATTTTTATTGAGAAATCCACATAGAAAAGACAATAATCTATCGAACAATTAGTAAGCTTAAAAATATATTTTACGTTACTACTAGCAACTTTTAATGAATATTATGCGGCTTATTTGGTCAGTGCCTTCGCCCGGATTGCGAAGGGTGCGGGTTCGAGTCCCGTCTGCTGCCTGGTCCGCGTGGAAATTTTTCTAGTTATATTTTCTTTGTATTATTATTTTTTTCTCACCGAAAACGAGTTCATAGTATATTGTCTCATATTTGGATGACTAATCTACGGACTGTGACGTTCCTTTAAATATTCATTACACAAGCGTTTTACTTGCTCTAGTTGACCTTGAGTTGAGATCAAAGCAATGTATGTCATACGCCTAAAACGAAATATATATTTATTTCACTTGATAGACAACACAATAGACTCATTGGACATTACCTGTCGAATCGATAAAATAGGATAAAAATATATTCTGAGGAGTTCGATGGCGCGGGTGGTTAGCGCGTTCGGCTGCGATCGTTGAAGTTAAGCAACTTTCGCAGTGGTCGATCATTGGATGGGTGACCAAAAATCTTCTATCTCGAGTTTCCTCCGTGCTTCGGGAGGCACGTTAAGCCGTTGGTCCCGGCTGCATCTGCAGTCGTTAGCACCCGCCAATCTGCACCGGGTCCGCGTGGTGGGTCATGACCCAACCTCCCTATTCCATCCATAAGGGAACGCCTGTTCCCCAGCAGTGGGGACAATAATAGGCTGATGATGATGATATTCGGAGGTTAAAAAATTATACAGAGTCATTATTAGCCTTCTTATATCCCAATGATAGGGTCTTCGCTATGGACAGAATCAAGGAGAATCCAACTGCTGAAAATTGCAGATGCATCCAGAATAAGATAATGATATGTTATCCACACTATTAAAAAAGTTGTTATATTAGTCGTTAATATTGGATGCGTTATTGCGATAATAATATTCCGATCTGACCAACGAACTAACTAAAAATGTCTATTTAGTTAATTTATATGCTTTAGAAGTCAGGCCCAAATTAAAACGTGGCTGATTGAAATAACTCAGAAATCACACCTGACAGAGTGGAAAACAGGTGAAGGATGCCGGCAAACGAAAAACGCGGTTCCGGCGGCAAACAAAAGACTTGCCCGCACCCTTACCAGACTAAATAGGGACAAACTTCGCAAGATGATAGGAACCCTGACTGGTCATTGTCCCCTAAACAAACACCTATATACAATAGGAGTAACAGACAGCCCCCTATGCAGAGGATGCATGGAGGCAGAAGAAACGC